AAAAAAAAAAAAAAAAAAAAAAAAAAAGAAAAAAAAAAGAATTGTCTCGTCGTTTTAAAAGTTTAGATCGAAAGAAGGTTAAACAAGATTTAGCCGCATCTGGCCAATTATCCACGGCCACCGGTTCTATCCCACCGACTTTGTACACAATGCTACCGTACTTTGTAACAAAGATTGTCGAAAGAAAGAAGATTCAAGGTACATAATGGAAGTTGGAGGAAATTCGTTTTACGACGTCGTAATCGCGTTTCCACGATCGTCCCACTTTTCCCTAGAAAAACTGGATCGAACGATTGTTCCCTTGAAAACGATCGTTTGCACGGGGAGGGAGGGGAGGGAATTGTCAGCCGGAAGTGGAGGGAATCGCGAAGGAGGAAACGGCCGAAAAAGTGAAAACGGTAGCCCGTACGGGGAGGGGGGGGATTGGCATTTCCATTGGTGGTTCTCGATAGAGCTAATATTTACCCTACGGTCTTAATGTCAGCGTAGACAGTTGCCAAAACTAACATATGAATCGGTTTGCTCGTAAGCGGTAATACCAGAAGTCCTCGATATCGGGTCGAGGATGAATATACGTGGATTGCGAATCTATTCGCCGATAAATGTTGAGATTTTAGGAATAGGTTGGTATTTGGAATAGATATTGTTCAAATGTAAATACAAATATTATGTATAATTATTATTACATGGTGATGTAAATACTCGAGTCGCAAAAACTTTGCGTGATATCTATCACGATACGCTTAGGCGGGTAATACAAAATACGAATTTCAATTAACGAATCGATGGATTGAAATTGAAAATTCTTTGTGAAAGTTTTGTAAAAATTCTGTTTTCAATGAAACTTTGCGAATAAAATTGAAAAATTTCCCAATTAAATTCAATTCTCCGCTAATTTATAAATTTTATTAATAAAAACTTGGAGGATGTTTATGTGTTTATCATTCAAAAATTCGACGTGAAAAAAAAAATTTTTATTTTAACTCTTTTTTTTTTAATCATAAATCATATGATTTTACATAAACATCTACAATGTCCAATTATTAATTTATTTCAATGTTTCAGATAGCCTTTTGTGCGAGGAATATATTTCGAAATGGAATTATATTTAAAACGCGAAAAAAAGTTTGAAGATTGATTCCATCTTCTCAAATGGAATTTTATGCCAAAAAAAAAGTTGTTCGCGTATCGATTAAAAGGATTTTGTTGTCTGTTCAATGGGATTACGAGAGAATGTTTCATCACGAACTTTTGCCATCTGACCACACGATTAATAATAAAAAATACTATACTCGATTGGATCAATTAAAAGCATCACTCATATTCAGAAAAAAGTATCTTTGACGACCAAAAATGAAATCTTGTAAGTTTTGGAAAGATTTATTACGATTCTCTTCGTCTCAACAATAATAAAACTTGACAAAAATTTTCAGGATTAGAGAAAGTGGATATTTGAAATAAGAAATGAATATTATTTTTCTCGAACGATAGAAAATTTTACGAACAATTCTATTCCACAAACGAAGAAATAATATTTCAAAAAGTAAAACTGTTTCAAATTTTTCCCATTGTTCATACTAGTATCAGTAGTTACGAGACCGTAAAAGACAGACCAGGAGAACGAAGACTGTGCAATTATTACCCTCGCTACTCCATCCAGAAATTTCCAAAATTTCTGAAGCAAAAACTTGGATAATTTGATGGAAAACTGGACATATACAACATATTTATTCCACGTCGATTCATCGAAATGGAAACGACTGTCAAACACGTTTCCATTCCCAATACATCTCCCTCTCTCCCTCTCTATTTCTCATTCTGTCCCCCCCTTGGACGATTCGTTAAACGAGAACGAACGTATCATCGAGGGAAGAGAAAGAGAGGATGAGATATACAGGAGAGTACGCCGGTGATTGATGAACTCTCGAGAAGAGTGATTCGAGGTGAAAGGATCGGGGAAGATTCGCGATTCACGCGAACGAGCGAGCGAGCAACCCCTCCCCCCTCGCCCGTAATTATAATCAACCGTCGTCGGTGATATCTGGCTGAATACCAGAGCCGAAATGTGGGACGTCTGTTTGTCGGTGTCGGAGGGGATAACCGTAATCCGAGGCCACGAATCGACTATGTGTATGATCGATGTAAACGTACTCGTGTAAACAGATATACTGGCGCCTTATGATCGATAGCCAAAGATATCGTGTATACTGTATTTATATGTACAGGGTGTTAATATATTCGTGGGGACGTATGTTTGGAGGATCGATTATGGAGAACAAAGGTTCGTATAGAAAGATGTCGAGATGTTGACGCTTATTTGTTAAATTATTACTGAACAATTTAAAGTAGTTCTATCTTCATCGCGCAGCAGTCTTGATATATTTGCGTATTCGCTTCATCTTCAATAATGTTCAATTGGTTATGGCTTAATAAATTAATCTACTAAAAAATTATTTTTGGTTTGATTTATAGAATCAATACTTTAGAGAAGTAAAATTTTTGTGAGTATAATTATAAGGTTATATGTGGGATAATTTTTTTAATAGTTGATTATTTTGAATTATAGGTGGAATTCAAAAAAATGGCCAAGTGAAGTTATATGTATATTGAAAAAATGAAACTTATGAAAAGCTGGAAACTTTGGGAAAAAGATTTATTATGCTATACATATATAAACGTTCAAATTAAAATCAGAATTTTAAGGTAAGGATAGATTTTCCTGTAAATATATTTTCATAAGATATTGTATTTATATCTCATATTCATAGAGATCTTCTGTTGTAATTCATATGTGTGTTGTTTTATTCCTTTATTATAGTCTGATTATATATTACCTAATTATCGTTGTTTGATAACCAGTAATAATCAGTAATCCAACCACAAGCTTGATAATCTTTATTTAGAAAGTGTACGCGATTGCACAATGCAAAAATTTTACTTTTTACTATAGCCTTTCAGTTTCTAACATATTTCGTTTATTGTAGAAATGAATTATTATTAGAATTGTCATTTAAAATAATTCATCTAAAATTTGAAAAAAGATTTACGGATTATATATCAATAATTTATCACATTTTATTGTGATAAATTATAATAAATTCTATTTTAATGATGTTTTTCATACAATAATAATTTTTGCTCTTATTTTCAGAAAAATGTAAATTTCATCAATAAAAATATTGAAGAACTACAACATTCGAACATATTAAAAGTAAAATGTAAGAAAATACACACATATTCCTACATATTATTCCTATATATAATATTTTTGCTCTTATTTTCAGAAAAATATAAATTTCATCGCTAAAAATATGAAGAACTGCAATAAATTTAAATATATTAGCAACGAAATGTAAGAAAACGCACATATATTTGTGTATTCCTGTATTCGCGAGTTTCTACGTGGTGTGACTAATCTTAAGAGCACTAATCTATGTCGCCAAAGTGGAGTTTAGAGAAAAGTTTCAGACTAGAGAAATAACAAATGTAACAAAAGTCTTAGGGAGCGCATCAGGTAAAATGTCTAAAGAGTTTTCTGGCGTATCTTGCACAGAAAATCTGTTCCATTTCTGTTTATTTTACCGCTTATATCTCCAATGCGTTACATTAAAATCTCCTTAAACCTACACGGTAACGCGATTTCAAGATTATTTCGCAAAATAATGGTTTTTATCTGCTTTCAATCGTTAACGAGACTCGATATAACTCAAAAAATTACAATTGTAAATTTTGTTTAATAAGAATTACTATACAAAAAGAAAATACTATACAAATTTGTATAAATTTCGATTTCTGTATATTCACTTTAATCTTTCCGCACATCATTCTCAAATTCGATAACTTATACAAGTTTATAGATAAGAGTTATAAGAAAATTATCGAAATCAAAATTTTTAAGTATTATTATTCACTTTATAGTTCAGTTTTTATAAAATTTCGTTTTATAGTTGTAGCTTGGAGTCAAGTTATAAAAAAAGATTTTTATTTAAACAAAAAGTTTATATACTTCGTGTCTCTGGCATAAAAAAAAAATGTTAAATACATATAATTTATGCTTATTAAATAAATAAATAAATCAGTCGATATCAAAGAATTTTATAATCTAATGCAATTATTAGAAACAAGAAAAATTGTGGTATACCGTTACATCAATCGGTTTAACGTATGTTTCTTTTCTTTTTACTATTTTCCTCTTCTTTTTCTTTTTCCCCCTATTTTTTAATAAATTCTCAACACGCGACACTTTATCACGCGTCGAAACCACATATATTTCGAGTTGTAGCGTGACGCACAGAGAAACGCTTCTACACCCTTCGTGATAAATCACCAGAGGAAGAGAGACAGAAAGAGAGGCCACCGTCGTAAATTCTCAAGTCTCTCCCGCCTTTTAAATGTTGAAAAAAATAAACCAAAGGTTTCCAAGATTTTCGCTTAACTTCGGATCATTCGACGATCTTAAAACTCTCGACACGATAAGATTCTATTGAGATATTTTTAGTTTCGAAGATGTGTATCCATGATTTAACAAGAGTTACGTATAATAATCTGAATAATCTGAAAACGTTAAGAGAATGAGAATCGAATCAAGAATGTTTTTTGAATTCACTGTAATCGAAACACAAGTAAGTATACGCAAAAAAAAATAATTTTAACACATAATTTTATGTCTCGACGATTATTTGCGATTATTTGCAGTTTATTATATAAAATAACATTGCACAAGTGTAATAAATGATTCTCTATTTTATATATTTTTCGTAAAAAAAAAAAAAAAAATGGAACTTTCTTATTCACCTAATAATACTTTATTTCAAAAATTTTGTTCCAAGTTCAAATAAAATCATCAGACACGTTAACAATTATTCTTATTTCAGAATAAACGTTATTTTAATCGGATACTTTCATCGCATAACAAAAGGAAAATGACGAAATTCATCGTTGAAAAGAAGAATGAAGGGATTAATCATGAACCAACGAATCAAGTAAACGGCAAATCTCTGGTTAGGGAAATAAAAGTTAGGAATCGTGGAAAAGTTTAATATATCTTTTTCTTATTCTTCCCTTTCTTTTCGTCTGAAATGGTTCGATGCAAAATCTATAGCCGATAAAAGGCGATCGTGAAGCAATATCAGACATGGAAGAAACGTTGAATTATTCAACCCGAAGGCGAGGAAAATGTTTTGATTATGCCAGGCCACGGACGCACGCACATGTGTATACGTGCACGGATTCTCTGCGCGGTGGCCACGGCCGAAATTAGTTGGATATCCGAATAATTAACGAAAATAGCAGAGACGAGTTTTGCGCGTTTCTATTATAAAAGTGAATGCGTAGAGTTATGTCAAGACGAATGAACGATAATGTTTGTAAATTAGATTTTTCCATCACTCAGTGAGATTAATCTCTTGTATGAAATTAGATTTTTGAAAAGGGGAAGAAAAAGTGTTTCGAAATATCGAAATTCAATTTTTTTTTAACGAAGCCAGATTTCTAAAACAAAAACGAAAGTGACGATCCTTGAGATTGATGAAAGAAAATTTTATATAGTTGCTTCAAATCGTTACTGAATAGAGAGTTTTGAAAAAACGAATCAAGTTTGATTTAAGAAAAGAAAGTGCTGATTATTATTAGAAACGATTAAAGAAACTCGAATAATGAATGTTTCAAAATTCAGAATTCCAACTTTGAATATCTATTAAAAGCAAAAAATTAAAATTTATCTATAGAAAAAAAAACTGAAAGTGATTTATAAAAGATAAATATGTATTGATCGTTTTGTAAAATGCGAAATAAATATACTCTTAAAATTGACGAACAAATTATTCTCACAAAATCTGCAACGTAATAAATCGAATTAAATAATTAAAGGACAATGATAGTGAACAACATGATTGCACGATTCAATTGATCAACTTTTTTAAATTACATGGATCTCGTTAGAGCTGAAAACTTTCGAGATACTGAGATCGCGGAAGGTCTAGAAATAGATTGCCGCTTCTGTAGTTTTGAATGGAATAAAGCTGTAAAAGTCGGCTTAAAATAAAAATTGATTCTACCATTAACAAATTAATATCGAGATTATTTTATCTTATTACTACATGCTTATTCAAAAACAGCCATATTTTAATTCAATTCTATTTCATCATTTAAATATTTAATAAAATTGAATTTTTCTTTTCACGCGAATTTGATGATTTGCAAGATGCACTTCTTGATCAAATTAACATATATCTCATAACTAACATAGTCGATATTTTAAATAATTAAAAAAGAATATCTTCTCGACTTGTTTTTCAAATGTTTATTGAATTTAAAACATTTGAATACATATTTTTCCGTATATAATTCATCTAATTACAGTAAAAAAGATTGCAATAAAAATATTTCTAGAAAATCAAATCTATGGCTTCCATATTTCAGAACGAAAATTATTTGAAATACAATAGCATGGCATATTTTCACATTATTCGAAAACAAATGAGAAATCGACTGAGCGTGTTTACATACACGGACAATATTCTAAATCAGCCAATTCTAATTGCGAATTCATGGTGTTGCCATTCAAATTAGATTCACTCGATTTTCGTGGCTGGAAATGTGTGTTAGAATCAGGAACAACGTCGAAAGCGATCGCGTTTGTCACGAATCGTTCTTGCAATTTGTATAAATAAACGGAATCGTTCATAATGTGAGCGGCTTCGAGAAAATTCGATTAAACAATCGATGAAAGAAAAAAATCGATAGATCATTCTTAATATGAAACAATTCATAATCTTTAATAATTATGGTATATTAAAAAAATTTTGAATTAAAAATATTTATTTTTGCTTTTAATTGTATGATTTAAAGAGAAAAAAGGGAATAATAAAATATTCCAAACTGAATCGAGCAGGTGACATTGTGTAACGCGTGCTCTACGCGTGCTCTACGCTCCGTGTTTATCGACCGTACCACGAACTCTCCCAAAAAGATACGGGGTGTGGTCAGAAAATTTTCTTTTCTTGTATGCACGATTTACGAATCAAAAAAACTTTCGTAACTGTGAGTCAAGATCATTCGAGATCACGAATGATAAAAGATGAACGATATCGATACTCTATTGAAACTATCTATGGAATATCAAAACTCTCCTAACCTAGAAAAAATCACATGACGTTTTAACTTATTTCCCGATAATTTTATTAAGAAATTATCAAATAATTCTATTCGAATAATAAGAATAACGTAATAAATAGTAATAACACATTTCAAAAATAGTAATTAAAAATTATAAATATTAACAAAAATAGTATTGAAACGTGACTTTCTTATTATAGAATATAGCATCGAACGAATAAATCATATTACAGAAATAGGTGATCGAAGGA